TTGCCTGGGCTGCTTCTCTAATGTTCAGACTTCAACATGCAGGGAAGCAGGACTCGTCACTGATAACTGGCAGTATCACTAAGAGTTAGCTAATTGAGCAATTATAGCCAAGTGCCCACTCTGTAGTCCCATCTGGAAGCCGGAGGCCTGCGCTCCTTTATCCCTCAGTGAGGAGAAGCACTTGTCACCCCTGCGCCAGCCATCGGGCCTCTTAGCTTCCTGGCAGCGGGTGCCACCCGCTCCCCAGCTCCTTCCAGACATGGTGGGAGGCCCCCAGCTGCTCCCAGCCTGGCCTTGTCCAGCTACACCCAGCAGCACTGGCTGTTATCTCATGTAGCTCCACAGTCGTAGCCTTGGCTCCCACACTAACAGTGGGGGAAGCGTGGGGTCTGCAGAGCTTGCCTGCTAATGATTTCGCTGGGTCCTCAGCTCAGTGCGTAATTGATATAAGTATTGTACCCACTTCACAGGTCTGGGCACTGAGGCTTAGAGAAGGGAGGTCATGCAGCTTGAGTCTGGGCTGAGGCCCGGGTGGCTTCACACACTGAACTCGTCTTGTGTCCCCACCGAACTGTCCTCTGTCCCTGAGGTCTCATGTCACTCAGTGTGTGCTGGAATTACTTTCTTGGAGAGGTGATTTGGGCATGGTGTTAAGCTGGTGGGTGAGTGTGCAGAGGGCATAATTTGTGGTGTGTGTGATAGGAAGCGCTCTGTCTGCTGGGAGGAGAGCTGTTCCCAGTCTGCAGACGTAGGCTGTGTTGCGGGTGAGCTATGTGACTTTAAGAAAGCCCCTTACGATGTCCAGTCTTTTTTCAATGCTATGTATTTGGGCAATGAGGGTCATCCGCACACACGTTTGACTCCCCCTTTCAACACCCTGCCATTGTTCCTACTCTTGTTTTATAGGTGAGGAAACCAAGGCACAGAGAATGAAATAACCTCTCAAGGTCACATGGCTGAGGGACCAGGGTGCTCAGATTCTGGGGTTTCCTAGCTGCAGGCTCTTGCTGTATCTGCAGCGTGGGGACCAGCAGGCCTTACGTTGGGGTTGTGGGGTAGGACGTACAAAGTTCCATCTCCAGAGAAAAGCAAGCTGTGGCCCAAGGACCAAGCAGAGGTGACAAATGGAAACCTCTGGACCAAATTTGGTCCACGTCAGGCATGGGGTTCTCTTTAGAGAGGTTTTTTGGCTTTTATTTTCCACTTGGATCATCAACACTTTAAAATCAGGACATGCACATCACACTATGTCTCCCAGCTTACCTTAATAAAATCAGCATCTGGCCAAAGCGGGCCCCTCTTTGGGCACGAAGCAATTGTCTGGTGTTAGGCCTCATGGGCTTTGTGTCCCTTTGCCTTCCCTCCCTGTCAGGTCCCATCAGGTTTGAACTGTGGCGTTCCGACACCAGGATTGCCTCCTTCGGAGTTTGCCTGGCTCCCGTGGGCATGCCAAGTAGCCCAGGGGGTGCCTTGCTGTCCTGTCCCAAAGGGAGCCACAGCTGGGTCACTTTCTATCTATGAGGTTGAAGGTCAGGGTGTTCTGGGAAGGTCAACCCACGAGGTGCACAGGAATGCTCTGAAGGCGCCGCTTTCCCAGCACCTCACCAGAGGTTTTACAGGTGGGGTGTTTTGCTGAGGGCTAGGGCTCTATCTGGGGTCCTTGTCTTTGGTCCCTTGCATTATTCCTGTCAGGTTTTGTCTCCTTGGTATCTGGGCACACGCCCCACGCTGACCCACAACTTCCTCCTGGCTGCCAAGGGCCTCCGACCCCCTCTAGCTGTGCACCCTGTTGCCTGGCCTCGGATCCCAGAGTGAGTCACGTTGCCCGGGAGATGGGGCAGGAGCGGGCCCTTCCCCAGCGGGGCCTCGAGGAGGCCACGGCAGGTGTGTGGAAGATGTTTATCGATGCGTGTCTATCTTTGTGAGTACAAAAGTTGGTTTCAAAAAAAGGGCTCCAGGTGAAAAGTGACAGCCGTAGCACACAGCACTGGTCTCTCAGGGAGCTGGAGAGCCGCACGGGGCTGCCACCATCTTTTCCTCATCTTTGGGCCACATTCAGGGGCAGGTGTGGCCCTCCCTTCTCCCTTGCTGGCCTCCTGTCTCTCCCCTCTCCTGAGGTGGGGGCCTGGACCTGGAAGGCAGAGCTGGGACCAGGCTCCGCCTACGGGCCTCCTCCTGGCTGTGCCCTGCTGTCCTCGCAGCTGGGCCCTTTGCTGGTCTCCAAGCCCCGAGAAGACCTGCAGGGTTGGGGTAGAGAATACGGAACACCCTGGCTGCTGCAGAGGAAGGGCCATCCCCAAGGGTAACAGACATAGAGGTGCAAATGGACCCAGCAGCAAAACCTCCGTGGAGAGTATCTTGGAGGAAGTAGCCCACCAGGCACGAGGACGGGTCCTGAGAGACGGTCGTGGAGCAGTTTTGCTGCTGTGTGAACATTACTGCCTGCGGCTTACAGAACCAGGGGCCTAGGCCCAGCACTCCATGTGATCCCTCCACGTGACCAAGAGACACAGTCAACACAGGGCGAATGAGGCTGCTCCTGGGTCCTGTGGCCCCTGACTCACAGTCAACGTTGTATTCTAGGTAGGTATGTACTGGACAACTGTACACATGGACACTGGTTCATTGTCATTGTCAAGTGTTATGCCTACTCTTGTATGTGTCTGGAAGTTATCACCTCAACCTGTGAGCAGGGCCTCCAGGCTGCAGTGTTGCTAGGCAGCAGCACCCTTCCAGTTGCTAGGAAACAGCATCCTTCCAGTTGCTAGGAAACAGCATCCTTCCAGTTGCTAGACAACAGTGCCCTTCCAGTTACTAGGCAGTAGCGCCCTTCCATTTGCTAGGAAACAGCATCCTTCCAGTTGCTAGGCAGCGGCGCCCTTCCAATTGCTAGGCAACAGCGCCCTTCCAGTTGCTAGGAAACAGCACCCTTCCAGTTGCTAGGAAACAGCACCCTTCCAGTTGCTAAGCAGCAGTGCCCTCCAGTTCCATTACGGATCACAGGACCACCTTAGGTCTAGGTGTGGACTGCAGTTGTTGGAAAGAACAAGAAGACATACATTGAACTGAGGGAAGGGACTTGGCAGATGACTTCATCTCTTAGGCCTTGGTTTTCTCATCTGGGTGATGGAAATAAACCTAGCACCTGGCCTGAAGGTCCCCGGAAGGAACAGTGAGGGACAGCTCATGCAGCATGCTCAGTGGTCGTGGCCTAGCTGTGGTGCTGCCGTGAGGCGGGTCCTTCCTGGCTCATTCTGATTCAGGCAGAGGATTAGCGCTGTCTGGGGCTCCAGCTGGAGTTGTTGTCTGAGGACATCTTTCAGAGGGTGTATTTGGTGGCACATTAACAGCCATGCCCTAGGGCCACCATTTTCCTGTGCCTTTATTTGGTGTGCAGGGACAGGGAACATTCTGTTCTGTTGGTCATCAGTCAAGACTGTGGGAGTGGACGGCCGCTCCGAGCACTTGGCAGCTTGCTGGGTTGGGCCGGCGCCAGCGGGGACCAGCGGCAGCCCATGGGGCTCGGCAGCAGGGCCGCTCTCCCACCCGGCTCCAGGTGCCAGCACATGGCTGGGTTTGCCAGGGCTTCGCCAGGGTGCGCTGGGGGACGGCACGTGAGCACACTGCCTCGCCTGGAGGTGGCCAGAATTTTTGCCAAGGTGACAATAGAACAAAGGACAGAAATGGGCAGGAGAAACCAGCCCGGCTTCCTCCATGAGGGCGTCCCACTGAGAGGGCCCTTCTCCTTGGTGGTCTTGGTGGAGCTCACAGGGATCCCCCTGATTTTTGGAATAAACGCGCTTTCTAGTTTCCACCCCTGATGCTCTGATTCATGGGGTCTTGCTGGCCCTGGAGGACCGCCCTCTCATGGCTGGTCATTTCCTAGAGATGGGGAAGCAAGCGCCGGCCCCAGGCAAACCATCCCGTCCAGAGCCAGTGCTCAGCTGCCCTCTGCACCGGCTCTTACACTATGGCCATTGTCACCCAGGGCACACCCGGCCACTCGGCAATCCTGTACCCAGGTCGGCTAAAGTCCTCCAAACCAGACAGCTCCTCATCCTGCCCCTGGCCTCCCCTGTGCTTCTGTGTAGGAACACAATATAACCCCTCCATGTCCCCTTCATCCCACCTCTGACTGCCCCAGGTGGTCCACGGGGCTGCTGCGCCCTGACTCCTGCTCCTGGAGAACTGGGGGTCGAGACCCCTCTTAACCTGTCTGTTCATCTTATCCTTGTCTGTGTGTCTTGTCCCTGTCTGTGTGTCTTGTCCCTGTCTGTCTGTGGGTCAGACCCACTCCCAGGTGCCTTGACAACCACACTTGATGAACATTGGCTACTGAACAGGCCAATAAGTAGGATCCAGATATGGACGTACTCAACTCGGTGGCCCTTCAGTCCTCAGGGAAATCACAGAGGTGTGCACTGCCTTTCTTGAGAATCAAATGGACATTTTCTTTGGCTTCCAGTTTCGGGGGCTTCAGTGCATGGTGGCTTGAGCTGGCGTTTTCATCTGAGCACATCTTTCAGAGGGTGTATTTTGGTGGCATGTTAACAGCCATGCTACCTTGCTGAGGCTGGCTTTGAACCTGCAATCCTCCTACCTCAGCCTCCTGAGCTGATTAAGAGGTGTGCATCACCATGCCCAGCACTGGCCTGGGGCTGTCCTGTGGCCTGGAGTGTCCCCCAGAGTCTTCCATGTTAAAGGCCTGATCACAGCAGGAGGTACTTGTAGGAGGTGACCCTGTGAGAGGAAGTTGGCCATGGGGGTGGAGTGGGGGGCAGCGTGCCTTTGAAGGGGAGTGGGGAGCTGCCCCTCCTCCCTCCCTCTCTGCTCCAGGCCCCCTCAGGTGAGCAGCTCTGCGCCCCCAGGGCCTCATCCTGTGCTACCTGACCACAGGCCTGAAGCCCGGGGCCAAGCCACCATGCACTGAAGCCTCCAAAACTGGAAGCCAAAGAAAATTTCCTCCATAAAGGTTGACCATCTCAGGTGTTTTGTCACAGTCATGAAAAGCTGACTAACACAGGGCCCAGGGCCTTACCTGGAGGGCCGGAGTGACTGTGTGTCCAGCACTGGGCTGGTGTGATGGGGGGACATGGCTGCAGGCTGGTCACCAGTCAGCCCACACTGTGCTTTGGGCGGGCTCCTATTCTGCCTTGGTTCCATCGCAGGGGGCTCAGGGAGTCCAGGGACTTGCTTCAGATTCAACCTCGGCCCCTCCAAGTTCAGTTCTTCCTAATGTTTGCTTTAAAGATCTTTATTTTAATAATTACAGATCCACAGGAAGATGAGCATCACAGAGGTCCTCTCGTCCTTCGCCCAGTTTCTTCAGGGGTTATGTCTTCCATAATGACATCATCATGCAAAACCCCAGCAGCTGACCCCACCACCACGGAAGAGTGGACAGTGCTCCTCAACTTACGTGAGAGTTACAGTTCCCCAAACTCTTTGTAAGTTGAAGAAATTGTTAGTAAAAAACATGTGTGGGACCTCCCCAACCCACGCACACAGGACCCCCACCCCCAGCTTAGCGACTCACACACGGTCCCCGCCGTCGTCTCCTTGTAACTATGGGCCATCAGGGAGCTGCCCGAGTCTCACAGGAGCATGGGACCACACTGCTGGCCTGGGAAGACCCACACTCAAAATCCAAAGTAGAGCTTCTAAACCTTCAGGAGGAAATCATAAAGTCAAAAATCATAAAGTCAAAAATTGCAAGGGGCACCGTCATTAGTCACCAGGGTTACCTGCACCTGCTTGGAGGTGTGAGCCACCTGGGAAAGTAAAAAACTGAAAATAATCAATCAGGTCTGACCCGCAGACAAGTTAGGTTAGAAGGGGGCCTGGTGGCCCCAGCCCTGATGGCAATGGGTCTCTGAACAGGGCCCAACCCCTGAGTTAAGGGGATACATGGAAGGCTTCCTTGTTTCGGGGATCGTGGGTAAACCTGGTATCTGGGGCTTGGCAGGGATGCCCATCTCCAGGAGGCTGCGTTTGTCCCTGGGTGGGAGCCACGGCAGGGCACCAGTGTGACCTGGGCTTTCTCCAACCGGGAAACTTCACCTAGGAGTCCCCAGAAAAGCTGCTTGCTGTCTTAATGGCTCAGACAGACCCAGGATTTATCCACGGCTTCCAACAGTTAGTTAGGGACCGTCTGTAGGTCTGTCACTTGCACACCTGTGGATGTGTGTAACTACCATCCGGACCCAGAGTCATAGTGTCACTCCAAAACTTTCTTAGGTGCTCCCCTTGGTACATGGGTCCGTATCCCAAACCCCAAGAAATTATAAATGTTTTCCATCCCTCTAATTTTGTTTTGAGAATGTGGTATAAATGAAAATATGGAGAATATGCTCTTTTAACCTTGGCTTATCACCTGGGCCTTCGCCTCACTCGGCATCCCTGCGCAGTCTCAGGGGTAAGGTGATCCCCGAGGCTGGCCGCGGGCACAGCAGTCATGGACGCCGCAGCTAGACGTGAGCATGGTGGCCCTCTCGTATGTGCTTCTCATGCAGCACTTTCTTTTCTTTAAAATAAATCTAATTTTTTACCATTTGTCCTCGATAGTCACACGTGACGGTGGAATGCATTTGGACACGTCAGGCCCAACAGAGGAGGGCTGAGCCAGGCAACGGGCCAGGCTGACGGGGGCCGATGAGGACCATGAAGCACCAGGCACCAGCGTCTGCAGGAGCCATGGCTACCCTAGACCTGAGAGGATGAGAGAAGGGTGCCTGCTACTGGGACTGGGCAGAGCTGCTGACCTGTCCAGAGAATGTGGCATGGGACCAGATCCACGGTGAGGCAGTGGGGAGGGGGACTGCGACCCCCCACCATGGGCCAAACCCACCTGGAGGCCCAGGAAAGGGGCAGGTGATGCGATCCACAGAGGCTGGCCTCCAAGGGCCCAGAGCAGAGCAGAGGAGGGTGCAGGGGGGTGGATATGGCAGGCTGGAAGGTGGCCTACCAAACAGGGCCTAGTCCAGCCCTGGAGCCTGAGGGCGGATGGAATCAACGCAGTTTGTAAGAGGGATACAGGGTCGGGGTGGATAGGAGACATAATGGCAGAAGCAAGAAGTGACGGCCATGTGAAGATGAGGCCAGGAGCTAAGAAATGTGGGTGCCTGGGGGACAGAGAGGAAGGAAGTGGGTTCTCCTGTGGGCAGCTGCAGGTAGAACTGGCTGCACCTTTGCAACATAGGGCTGTGGCTGCAGCCTCGTAGCACAAACCCGGCAGCCCGGGAAGGTAGGGAGGCGCCTGGGGGTGACTTAGTATTCACCTAAGAATTTCAGTGTTTGCTAATTACTAAAGGAGAAAGTCAGTATTTACAGCATTTAACTCGGGTCCCCTGCAGGGAGCCAGAGGACACGCAGTGCTTCTCCCAAGTCTCCCTGGTGGGCCTTCTCTGGGACAGAAGGGACTCTAGAGGCTTGCTTACAGTCACTGAAAGCTGTTGGACTATGTTATGGTTTAGCTCTGACTGTTCCCCCCAAAGCTCAGGTGAGACAAGGCAAGAAGGTTCAGAGGTGATCTGATTAAATTATGAGAGCTGTGGCCTAATTAGGGAATTAATCCACTTGATGGATTAATAATTTGAATGTATACTACGTTGGGTGGCAGCGTAGGCAGGTGGGCAGGCTGCAGGAGGCGGGTTGCTGAGGGTGTGCCTGGGGATTCTATCATGTTCCCCCCACTCCTCCCTTGCTCTCTCTCTATTTCCCACTCCCATGAGCTGAGCAGTTACCCTCCTTCATTCCTTTCCTCCATGATGACCTACCTCACCTTGGACCCAGAGTAATGGAGTTGGCCACTCATTGACTGCACCTCTGAGCCCATGAGCCTCCCCACCAACAAAACAAAACAAAACAAAAACCTCACTAACAGAGATTGATGCCCAGAGTGGAGCTGTTGCTGTGACTCACCTGACTATGTGGTTTGGAAATTTTCTGGAGCTGGCTTGTAGGAGGAGTTTGGAAAAGCTTGGAGATGCAGGATGGAGAACTCTTAGAATGTTGTAGATGGAATTTAATGGGCTATTCTGGTGGAAACGCTGAAGATCAGAATGCCAAGAGGAAGGCAGCAGACTGTAAAGACTGTGCTCATGAGATTTCATAAGAGAATGGGGACTCTACTGGAAGCTGGACTAGAGCTCATTTATGTTACATTCTGGCAAATAACTTGTCTACATTGTAACCATGTCATGAGATTTTGTGTGAGGCTGGATTTAAAAGTAACAGACTGATTAATCTGGTGAAGAAATTTCAAGACAGCACAGCATTTAGGCAGTGCCATGGGTACTGCTGGCAGTTTAACAATCTTCATGATGAGTATCAGGGGCAAAATCAGGTAGGAAAGATTTGGAAAGCTTATGATTTAGACAGAAAAGTGTATGTAAAATTGGGACTAAAGAAGGTGTGGTTGTTGAAGAGATCACTGCCACTAACGGGAAGCTAAGTACTTTGCACAGATACTAGGAAAGGTGTCTTGAGGTCATCTCAGGACCACACCCATTACAGACTTGAGGATGTAAAAGGGAAACTCTTTGAGAAAAGACCATGGACACTCTGCTTACACAGAAGTTATCTAGGAAGTTGTTTCTCCAAAATTCAGTTCACCATGCTCTGATTCTCAGACACTCAGAGGCTCCTGCAGCCATGTTCTGGCTTCTGATGGAGCAGAGTTTGGCGTCATCAGTGTGGTTCTGGTTCTGCAGAGCGCTGGAGTAAAGGGTGTCACGGAGGCTTTTATCCAGATTTCAAAGAAAGACCTGGGATTCCAGGCAACTTGTAGCAGCTTTGGGATTCCCGTGGGAAGCCCCTGAGAGGGTAATGATGGAGCTTTGAGAAGGAAGGTGGAGCTGGAGGTGGGGGGGGGTGTCCCCAGATGAAGAGCTTCCAGTAATGATGGACATCTGCCCAGCCAAGCTTCCCGACAGATCAGGCTGAGAGAGAGGCCACGTGAGCTGTGACCAGCAAGGCCACGTGGGTGGGGCTGCCCGAACTCCTTGGAGAGAACATCCTGCTGCTGAGTGCCCCAGATTCTGGAGACGAGCTACAGGACCTGTTTGCTTAGCTGGAGTTTAGTCTTCATGTGGTCCCATCCCTTCCTTCTGGGCCCCATTTCTCCTTTTTGGAATGGAAATGTTCATTCCGTGCCATTGGGTATTGGATGTACCCAACTTGTTTGGGGTTTTTCCAGGGACTTATAACTTAGAGGAGACTTTGGAGTTGGGCTTTTGGGCAACCCTGGAACTGTGAAGGCCACGGTGAACCTTCAAGATGGACCAAATGAATTTTGTCTTGTGAGATAGACATGAGCTGTGGGGCCGAGGGCAGAATTTTATGGTTTGGATAGGAGGCATCCCCCAGAGCTCATTGGAGACAATGCAGGAATACTCAGAAGTGAAATGATCGGGGGATGAGAGCCAAAACCTAATCTGCGAATCACACTACTTGGTGAACTAATAAATTTAAAGGACCACGGTGTGGGGTGGTGACTGTGAGCAGGTGGGGCCTGGCTGGGAGAGGTGGCCCTGGGATCGTGTTTTGTTGCCCTGTCTCCTTCCTCTCTCTCTGCTGCCCAGTTGCCATGAGCTGGGTAGTGTTTCTTCTCTATGTCCTTCCACCATGAAATCCCACCTTATCATGGCCCAGAGCAATGGCAATGGCCAGCCATGTACTGAGACCCCTGAAGCCGTGAGACCAAATAAAATTCTCCTTCTTCATATTCTTCTCATCAGGTGTTTTTGGTCACAGGGACAGATGACTGGCAGAGACTGATTCTCATTGGCTTGGTTTGGGCCATGCAGCCTCCTTAAACCAGGTGCCAAGTGGCTGGGTGGGCATCTGCTCCGATTAGCCGGATATGGCTCCCGTGTCCACCCCTGCGGCCAAGGCATGGGGGTGAGTCTGATTAAGTTAGACCTTGGAGAAATTGGGCTCCCCAGGAGAAACCGAATCCCACAAATAGGAGATGGAAGAGGAGACACTGGTGATACACGGGCATCCCAGAATGTCCAGGGAACAGAAATGTGAAGGGTCGACTGAAAAGCCACAATTTAGTTGCTAGGCTGCTTCCTGGTAGAAGGGCGCCCGCCTGTGATCCCAGCGCTCAGGAGGCTGAGGCAGGAGGATTGTGAGTTCAAAGCCAGCCTCAGAGAAAGCGAGGCACTAAGTAAATCAGTGAGATCCGTCTCTGAATCACATACGAAATAGGGTTGGGGACGTGGCTCAGTGGCCCCCGATACCTGCCCCCACCCCCGAAAGAAGACTTCCTCTGGTTGCGGAATGTGTTCCCTTCAACTTCAACGTGACTGAGGGTCTCCTTGGTGAACCCTATAAAGGGGAAAATTGTTAAAAAAATAAATGCATTTGGGGATTCTTAAAGTTTCGAGCATCATCTTTCCCAAGTGACTTTGAGGGAACCAAATGAACAAAGAGTGCTCATGCATAGAGGATACCAGAAACTCCATCCATCGAATCCCTCGAGTGAGAGCCCAGGGAAGGCCCCTGTGTTCCTGGACACCAGGGCCGCCTGGTGCTTTTAATAAGGGAGGCTTGTTCTGGCCAGTGGTTCTGGCCACGGTCCAGGGACGCTCGCTCCAATCTCTCTCTCAAATTCCCTCCTCAATTTCCTGTGGCATTCTTTCTATTTTTCTTTTCCTTTTATCTTTTTTGAAATCTTTAAATTACTTTTTCAGCCTGAATCTGCTTCCTGGTTATTTATAAGAGCTGGGTGCCACCCAGAGGTGGCTGTGTTCTTCAGACAAAGTCAGGAGTGTTTTGTTTTCCGTGCCTCCTTAGCTTGAAGGTGGAGTGAAATGTGGTCAGACCCAGGGTTTGGCTCAAGTGCCACCATGTCTAGAAGATGGCAGTAGCAGTAAAGGAAACTTTGCAAGTAACAAAGAAACAAACAAAACAAAAACGAAAAACACCAAACAAAAACAACTCAAAATAGCTTACGTGTTACGGGAATTTATTGGTTCGTGTAACCTAAATGCCTAGAGATGGTAAGCCTTCAGGTACAGTTTGATCAAGCTTTTGCATAGTTCTCCATGGAGGCAGGAATGTTCATCCTCCTTATTCACTGAAGTAACTGAAGATCTAGAACAGAATCTAGTATCCAGATATTTGAATAGTTTGTATAAATAAATAAATGTTTTTTTAATGAACACAGTTATTTCCACTCTGCCTTCTCTGTGGATTGGTGTGGTCTCAGGCAATGCAGAGCAGGACTGATGAGGTGTTGTCTTTACCTAGCTGTCTGTCTACCTACGTATCCATCATTCTATCTAGATCTCTACCTCTTTTTCTTTCTCCTTCACTTTCTCTCCCTCTCTCTCCTTCCCCCCTCTTCCTCTTTCTCCAAAAAGTGCATACCCTTACATCACTGTCTAGCTAAAGCTTCGCAAAACAAAGGCCTCCAGCATTTTAAAAGGGAACTGAGGCCAGAACCCTGAAGCGTCTCTTTAGACCGCCCTTTCACTTCCTCATGACAGACCGTGGTGGATGCGCTTCTCCCTGAGTTTCCCAGCCTGTACCTTCTGCTTGCTTTCCAAATGCACAGTCCACCCCCCCACCCCAGCCGGACTGGGAGCTGGAATTCATCCCCAGTCCTGCTGCTCGATGTGTTCCCAAGTTGGCAGCAAAACCCTTTCAAACCATAACTCTGTCGTTTGTGCAAAGGGAACGCGTGCCCGCCAACCGCTCCACTGGACAGCCACAGCTCTGCACCCCACAGGGGGCAGCCTGGAGCGGCCCCCACCTGCCTCGGGTCTCAGAACCCAGATGGTTCCTGCCGAGCCCAATTGTTCTGAACTCCGACCTTTTGTGCCTATGGAGCATCCGGCCCAGAGCCCACCTCATCTCTTTGCAGATGAGCTAGTGAATTTCCAGTTACTTATTTCAAATATTTAATTTTTGGGGTCCTCTTACTTAAAAATGCCTCATGTCTGTGGGCTGAGCTGGCTGACAGACGATCCTGTTTCTCTTTTTTCTCTGCGTATGGATTGCACATTCAGGAAAGAGCCCCAAGGGCTCTGTCAGGCCTGGGCAAACTTCCCAAGATGGGTTTCGATGAATTGAACCAAAAGTGGCCTGAGCGTCCATCAAGTCCTGTGTGACAGACCCCAGGGAGCTGCCAGGGCGAGAACCCATGGAGACCGGCCAGAGATACCACAAGGGAAAGCCAGCATCCCTGGCGTCCCTGCAGTGTGGGTGTGGAATGCACAAGAGTAGCCTGGGCCAGGGGCCACCGTGTCACATGCAGGCTCCACTAAGTCAGTTGAGCACATTTCTAACTTTTTATGAACCTGAGCAAAGAGAGGACACTGTCAGCAAGCAGATCTCCAGGGGCTTCTTTGATGGGCACGTCAGGTGATATTCTGAGCGAGTGGGAGCTGGGCAAGGGGCTGCAGGGCAGAGGGCAGACATGCCTCTGGTTGGGCACCTCTCCTGATGAACGGCGGGGACTTGCCCGCGGGCAGGGGATTGGCATTCTCATGAAGGGCGTGGGATGTGCAAGGCAGGCTCTGGGCTTGTGGTGTGGAAACGTGGTCCAGAAAGAAGGGTGCAGAAGATCTGGGCTCTACCCAGGCGAGACCTCATGGAGATCAAGGTGGGTCCCACCTGCAGACTGCAGAGTCAGTGTGCAGGGATGCATGTCCCTCCCCCGCCTCACTGGGGGTCCTGACTCCGGCTTCCTCCTGTATTGAACTCAGCACCTTCCTCTCGCCCCAGGAAGACTCCTCCGGGTTTGCGGATCTCTCCCAGGATCGCTTTCCTTCCTGGCGTCATGTCTGCAACTGGAGGCGATGTTCTGTGCCAGGCCGGGCTGTGTCCTCTTAGGACAATGCCTCTGGCCCTCTTAGACCCACTTGGGGAAACAGAGCCGGGACTGTGGTCTCCAGAGCCACTCACAAGAGATGAGACTCCCTGGACTGAGGCCCAGCAGAGGTCACACAGGGGCTCTGGGCCAGGCTCTGCCCTAAGCAGGACGTGGCCACTGCATTATGCAGGTCGCTGACCCTGGGACGGGCCTTTCAGGTTCCCGTGGACCACAGCTTCATGGCTTCCTGTGGCTGGGTGGCCTGTCCCCAGCCTTGGAATGCCCACATCTTCAGGGTTCTGCTCTGTGTAAGCTTTTTTATTATTATTATTATTTATTATTATTATTTGCTTCAGGAATTTTATCACAGCTGAGATCTGCTTCAGTGGTATGCGTATGGGAAATGTTGATATTCTTGGATTTGGGATCTTTCCCTCCGTCTCTGCCTCTGCCTCTCTCTTACACGCAGCCTGCGGACGTTGGTATGGGACCAATTACTCCAGGTTGCAGTCATTACTTTTATATAACTAGAGTTGGGGACTTGTGAATCAATTCCATACCCATTAGCAATGCAGGCTTGAGCCAAGATGTATTTTTTTTTCCTCTCCTTTTCTCTTTTTAACAGGACTGGACAGTGTTGAATCCTTGAAGAAAAAATCAACACCTTTTTTTTTTTTTTTTTTTGAGTGGACAGCACATTCCTCCCTTGGAGAGCTGATGAAGATATAAGTGTAAGAAAACCTCTAATTGAATCCAGCACACGGCGAGCCGCGCCGCGCCAAGCACACCCAGCTGAAATCACATGTGTCACTGGTCTCAGCCCCTCGGGGCAGCAGCACAGGGAAATATTTCTGGATTGTGTCTCTGGCGGCCCTTCCTAGCCACGTGGCCAAGGCAGAATAAGAAGGGCCCTGTTCTTGGGCAGAAGCCTCGGGGTCTGCCAGGCACCCCAGCTGCCCTTGATAAGCGGTCCTGTTGTTGGTTGCTGAAAGGCCAGGGACACAACGGTGACCCCGAGAAACAGAGGGGGTTGGCGAGGACCCTCCTCAGGGGCTTTCACTGCACTCCCCAGGCCTGGGCTTCTCGGCTTCCTGCGTGGGGGCTGGGGGTGCATCTGTCCCCACACCCTGGAACTGGGACATGCCAGGATGTGTCCTTTGGTCCAGTGCTCTGGTGCTCAGGGCGAGCCCTGCGGGACATCTGAGCCCCCTCTGATGGGAGGAGGCTGCAGAGAGAGGGGTCCTCCTTTCAGAATTCCTCCCCGATGACTCACAGCCAGGTGCCCCAGCGCCCCAGCTGCTCCGCCTCACGTGGTCGCTCCCTGGGGATGAGCCCTCTGAGGCCTGGTCCCTGGCTGGGGAGGGAAAGAGTGTGGGCCCCAGAAACCATGCTCTGGAGTTGGAGGGCAGAGGAAGCCCCTTCCCCAGCAGCTGCAGCCATGGCTTGAATTCCAGCAGGGCCTCTGTGCCTCCTGCTGGGCTACTGAGCTACTGTTCCACTTTGGACCTCCACCTAGAGGCCACTGGTATCAGTGTGGAGTGTGGAGGTGGCAGCAGATCTAGGGACCCCCTCCCCAGCCTTGGGCTAAGCGCACTCTGCCGCTAATCTGGGCGATGGCGTTCTGCCCTCACCCACGGAGGTGGCATGGCCCAGGACGACTGGGCTACATGTGCCGCCCAGCTCTGTCCCTGAGCCTCGGGCTGCAGGGGAGTCCCTGGGCGTCTGCAGAGTGGGCGGCCTGGTCTGCACACCCGGCCCTTCCTTCCGCCTGGGAGTCCTGGTTGGAAGAGGCATTCCAGGACATTCTTTCTGTCTGGCGTGGGGACTTGGCCTAAACCTTGAACCAAAAAACCAGAACAGACTGCACCAGTTTGCTCAACCTCGAACCAAATCCAAATATTTTTTAATATCACTGAGAACCGAACCAGAGCTCTGGGGTTGGGTTGGGTTTGTTTCCCACCCACCAGCGACCACTCAGGGAACACGGTGGAACTGGATGGGGACCTTCTATCTCCTGAAGGACCCAGAGGGACCCAGAAGAGGACCCCTGGCAGGTGGGGAAGGCAGAGCCGGCCGGCTCTGCAGAGGTGCCCCCTCTCCTGCTGCAGGGTGGGAGGCTGAGAAGGCCCATGGGCACAGCGAGGGCGCAGCCACTAGGCCCAGCTGGGGTTGGCCTGGGTCCCGAGACAGTTGAACGTTTGCAGCCACAGGCGCTCGGTGGGCGCCTGCTGCAATTGGGCAGCAGCGGGCTGGCCCAGCATCGTCTCTTCTCTGGACCACACTGAGGGGGTCCATGGGAGCAATGGCTCTGGGAATGAAGCTGTGACCCCTGGTCTCTCCAATAAACTGCCTGGTGAGCAACTGCAACGATCCTCCTAAATACTGCCCCCCCCCAGCCTCAGGCTGTGACCCTCTGGGCAGATGTGCCTAGTTAAGGTCTCAGGAGGAGGTCACCCTGGAATTAGAGCACACCTTAAGTCCAATGACCAGGGTCTTCATAGTAAGAGGAGAGGACACAGGGAGAGGGGCGTGGGGAGGGGACCAGGCAGGGACTGGAGGGCTGCAGAGCTGGCGGGGACCAGGTCCGAGTCCTCTGCAGAGATGCCTTGGTTGCCCCTTCTAGCACCCTGAACGGTGGAAAGATGGACATTATTTGAACCACTGCAGCAGCCACAGGAGGATCCCAGGTGTCCCAGGGGAGACCACCCTAGAAAGAGAGGGGCTTGAGCTTCAGGCTCTACCGGGGCTGCCTGTGGCGTGTGGGGCTGCCTGGTGTCTCCGAGGGCCGCTGTCCTCCTCTGTCACATGGAGCTGATGCTGTCTGTCAGGCTCTGTGAGGGATGAACGAGCTACAGAACAAGATGTGTCCACCTCAATGTGTCCTTCCCAAGTGCACACAGAGTTCCGAGAACCTGGGTCTGGATTTAAAGTGTTGAAATGAGGCACCTGTTTCCAGTTTGAACCAGTCGAGGGACTGTCTGTTTGTTTGTATTGGGGATTGAACCCAGGGGTACTTAACCCCTGAGCCACACCCCCAGCCCTTTTTATGCTTTGAGACAGGGCCTCCCTAAGTTGCTTAGGGCCTCCCTAAGTTGCTGAGGCTGGCTTTGAACTTGGGAATCCTCCTGCCTCAGCCTCCTGAGCCCCAGGCATGGGTCACCCAGCCTGGCACAAGTAATATTTTGAAACCCCTTTGGTAGGGCTCAGTTTGGGGTTTCATAAG